CTCAACATCAAACAACTTCTCCAGTGATTCTGTTGCTCCATTTGTGCTGCCCAGCAGACTACATGTCCACCCTTTGGGACTGTCTATCCAATGCCCTCCACATCAGTCTCACCACCTGAACCTCCTCCATTTCACTTTCACAATCAGCTCGCTGTTTCACTGTGCTTTCAGTTCCCCATCCCAGCCTGACCTTTCTTCATGCTGGGTTTAGCTAGGCAATTCTAGGAGGGAGGAAGGAAAGAGAAGGTGATATTGATTGGTTGAAACGAGTAGCCAAAGGATCTGCTGCCTTTAATTTTCTTGCCCCTCCGATTTTCCTTTTTCTTGCCAATGCTGATTGCTATGTGCAGAATATTGGAGAGATTGCAAACACTCAGCTACACAACCCAGAAGGAACGTCAGCATTCAGTACTAATTCCAACCCAATGGCCTGCTTCTGTGCTAGAAGTTGTGAAAACCAAACACATTGACATTGTCCATCAATATAGTCATAAAATAAGGAATTCAGGCAAAACTTAAATAAAGGGATGAGTGATTATGTTTGACTATGATTATGGTCTATGTTTGACATGGAGATGTCACAGGAATGGCAAACTATCTATTTAAACTAATTGATTAAATTCAAACCAGGCAAGTCAATGGCATAGTCACACTCTTTATGTTGTCTAATTGTTCCTTTATAAAGTTGGTTCTTTTGCATTTCTGTCCAGATGAGTGCAAGACAAAAACATTTGACTTTTCAGCAATGCTTCAGTGTAGATGCATCTAAGGGAAGCTAGATAAGTACACGAGGAAGGAGGAATAGAGGTTATGCTGACTCAAATAGGATGAGACGGCACGATGACTCAGTGGTTAACATTGCTGCCTCACAGCGCCAGGGACCCGGGTTTGATTCCACCCTCGGGCGACTGTCTGTGTGGAGTTTGCACATTCTCCCCATGTCTGCGTGGGTTTCTTCCGGTTTCCTCCCACAGTCCAAAGATGTGCAGGGTAGGTGGATTGGCCATGCTAAATTGCCCATAGTGCCCAGGGATGTTTAGGTTAGGTGGGTTAGACATGGGAAACTGGGGGAAAGGGTCTGGGTGGGATGCTCTTCAGAGGGACAGTGTGGACTTGTTGGGCTGAATGGCCTGTTTCCACACTGTAGGGATCCTATGGGACAAGGTTCTTGTCAAGCAAAAGCTCTAGCATGGGCTGGCTGGTTGGGTAATGGCATCTGTCCATGTTGTACATCATATAGAATTCCATATATAATGAAATTTTTGTTATCCAATATGCTCAGAGAATGTGTTGTGCCATTAATCAAGAATGCTAGATGGGGAATTACGTTACTATAGAGACAAGATAAAGTTGGGGGTTGTGATAACAGGGGAAGCATTTGGACAGTCAAATGGCCCTGGACATCAGAGCAAAATACACTGTAAATGACAGAACATCTTTTGTTTCTGAAAGAAAAGTGAGTTGTCAGTTTAACTGCCAACTGCCCTGTGCAGTATGCCTTTGTTCAGATACAATCACCAAAACTAACCTAATAAGTTTAATTAATTTAAAAGTAAAGTCACCTGTCCTACTAACTGTGTATAAAAACTGCATTATCAAAACACAAAGTGATGAGTTTTTCAAAAGAAGAATTGAACCTTCAGAAATTCCGACTGCTAGACGATTCTGGTGGATAGAATACAGGATAACGCAAAGGTTATTGTAATCTTTTTCCTTATCACTGAAGATGCTTCCCAGATTTACTTCTAAATGCAAAGAGTGTTGAAGAGGCATTGTCACCAGCCCAGGTTACCAAGGTCCAATTCTCAATAATTTGCATAATATTGAATATTTATGTTGAAATTCATTTCATAGACTCATACAACGTAGACTGGCCATTGAGTCTGTACCACCAAAAAGTGCACTACTATCTACACTAATCCCATGTTCTCGTGCTACACCCATTGCCTTGAATGTTATGACATTTCAAGTGCTCATCCAAGTACTTTTTAAAGATTGTGAGGTTTCCCACCTCAACTACCATCCTGGGCAGTACGTTCCACCACCCTCTGGTGAAAAGATCTCTTTCACAAATTCCCTCCAATCCTCCTGCCTTTCACTTTGAACGTGTGCCTCCTTGTTCTTGACTCTTTGACTAAGGGGTGTAGCTGTTTTCTATTCTCCATGTCCATGCCCCTCATAATCTTACACACCTCAGTCAGGTCAGTCTTCAACCTCCTCTGCTCCGAAGAAAACAATCCAAGCCTATGCAGCCTCTCTTCATCGCTGAGACGTTCCATCCCAGGCAGCATCCTGGTAAATCTCCTCTGCACCTCCTCCAGTGTAATCCAATCCTTCCTATAGTGTGGGGATCAGAACTGCAACCAGTACTCCAGCTGTGGCCTAACCAAGGTTCTGTACAACGTCGATGTGACCTTCCTGCTCTTATTATCTATGCCACAACTGATAATTGCAAGTGTCCTGTATATCTTAACTACCCTATTAATCAGCCTTGCCACCTTCAGGGATCGGTGGACAAGCACCCCAAGATCCCTTTGTTTCTCTTGTATCCTGCCATTCATTGTGCAATCCCTCGTCTTGTTATCTCTTTCAAAGTGCATCACCCCACATGTAAATTAAATCTGCCACCAATAAACCTATCTGACATACCCAGTTTTAACAAAACTGCCTGCCCCCTTCAGTACAGTCTGCTTAAAAAAAATGCACTCTTTCACATTTTTCCACAGTGCCAAATTCATTCTAATACCCACACTTGAGACAAGGAATCCTAAGGAAAAGTCATCAATCTTAATCGTTCATTCAGATTTTCTCCCTCTCCACAGAAGCTGCCTCCCAGCATTTTTTGAGATTTCCATTACTGATGTCCAGAGTCTGCAGTATTTAATGTTCAAGTGTTCTTTAGATTTGCCAGGGACCTTTGTCTACACAGGCTAAATACTGACTTGTTGTGTCAGTTCCAAGGCTAGTGCTCTCCATATTTTCCCTTTGAACGATAGCTGCTCATTTCCACCCTTCCTGTTCTCTGAACTTGTTCACAGCAATGAGTAACAGGGCACAATCATACATCCGTTTCTGTCAGGACAGACTGTGCTATTGACCTCCCTGCAGCACAGCAACTTCAACTTCTGATCATTGAACTGAAGCAGCCCCATATCAGGCAGCTAAATAGAGGAGACTTTCACCTCCCATCTGATCTAATAGCTCTGCCCTCAGCGAGCATTAGCTGAATTCTCTTCCAAAGTCACTTCAGCTCTGATTGGGGGAGTTCAACAATCATAGCATTATTGAGAGATACAGAATGGAAACACACCCTTTGGTCCATGCCAAACAGATATCCTAAATTAATTTAGTCCCATTTGTCAGCATTTGGCCTATATCCCTCTAAACCTTCCTATTCATACATCCATCCAGATGCCTTTTAAATGTTGTAATTGTACCAGCCTCCACCACTTCCTCTGGCAGCTCATTCCATACATGCACCACCCTCTGCATGAAAAAGTTGCACCTCAGGTTCCTTTTAAATCTTTGCCCCTCTCACTTTAAACCTATGCTCTCTAGTTTCGGACTCCACTACTCTGGGGAAAAGACCTTGACTATTCACCCAATCCATGCCCCTCATGATTTTATAAACGTCTATAAAGGTCACCCCTCAGCCTCCGACACTCCAGGGAAAATAAGGCCAGCCTAGTCATATAATGCCTATAGCCCAAACCCACCAACCCTAGCAATATTCTTGTAGATGTTTTCTGAACCCTTTCAAGTATACTGACATCTTTCCTATAGCAAGGAAACCAGAACTGAATGCAGTATTCCAAAAGAGGCATAACCAATGTTGTGCACAGCCACAACATGACTTCCCACTCCTATATCACTCTATTTAATTGTCTTACACAATACTAGAAACAGCTTCTAAATCAAATTAGATTATTTTAATATAGTCTATAAATTTCTCTATATAATTCTTCGTGCCGTAAAGGTAAAGTCACCAAAGTCCTACAGGACCATAGGGCTGCTATCTCATTAGACAGAGATGACTGGTGGTTGTTTAATCTGACGATCACCACACCACAGGAGAGTGGAGAGATGACCTCAGTTGATGCAGGTTGGTTAAATACATCTAAACTTCATTGGAACATCTTTTGACAATGTGTCAAGAATATCACTCCAAATGCTATTTAGGGTTCTTGTGACACAGTGATATTGTCCCTACCTCTGAGCTGGGAGGCTCAGGTTCAGGCCCACCTGCTCCAGAGGTGTATCACAACATCTCTGAGCAGGTTGATTAGAAAAAAAGGGCATAACAGAAGAGGCTTAGATAGCCTTGCCCATTACTGCAGTGTTTGCCAAGCCCATTGAAGCCACTTCCGGGAGAGCAACAACCATAGGCTCCGCCCACTTGGCATTGATTGGGCAAGAGGGAAAAATGGCAACACCACCGACCCGTCCCGATTGGCCGCCAGTCCTCTGTCAATCAAAGACACTGCCGCACACTTCAACAGCGAGCTACTGGAGGGGGAGGTTAACAAGTGATTTCAACCAGAAAGAACTACTGTTTCATGCATCGTCCTAAAAAGAAAAATTTGGCTATATACGTCCTCAAATATTCCATAAATGCAGATCCGCACACAGCGCACATTAAAGTACAACTTCAGCCAGGTACTTCTTGCAGAAGCGCTTCCTGCAAACCCACCCTTCCATTAGTTAGTTTCAGGGCTGACACACACCAAATGATGTCCGGAATTAAAAAGTCACACTTGCAGATTTTTTTTGAGGGTCCCGGGCATGAATAACAGCAGCCTCTGTCCGTCTCTCTCTCTCTCTCCACCTCTAGATCGGCGAATAGTCTCTGACACTTCCAGCCCCCGCTTTCCTCCCTCTTCCTATTGTGTGAGAGTGTTGGTTTCAGCTGGAACTTGCCAGAGTTTGCATGTGTCACAAGCCGCCCCATTCAAAAAGGAAAATCAACGTGCAAACGATTTCACACCCTCCCCTCCTCTCACCTCTTTTCATGCACACAGTCTCCACGACCTGGCACTTCTGTACACCAATCTCTATCCCCGTAACGCTTCCTTCCTTATTTCTCTTCCGTCTCCATGGCTAGCATTTACAGCAGGCGATGAAGAGGAGGAGGAGAATAGGGGGATTTCCACACCCTTTCCCTCTACCCCACCCACTGACGTAACCCTGGGGAGGGCGTGGAGGGAATTTGCTGGCCGGAAAAAAGTTAGTTCACCCCCTGTAGGAAATTCCTTACACATTAACTTAAAATATTATTGCAACATTCACAGATCCCCAAATTTAGTCAAATGTCTCAGCTGCTGTTTTCTTCCAACCCAGTGAGATAAAAGGCCTGTGTCTCACTGCCTTACGCAATTTGTGGAGGCTTTTCTTCTTTGTCGTTATTAACACCATGCATAGGATTGTATCCAGAATTTTGCAAATTTCCCAACGCATCTGTTCTTTCAATTCAAAGCTGTATTTGCTGGAGAAACTCGGCAGGTCAGGCAGCATCTGTGGGAAGAAAACAGACAACATTTCGGGTCCAGTGACTCTTAAAATCACCAGACTCGAAATGATAACTGCTTTTTTTTTCACGCTAGACCTGCTGTGTTTCTCCAGTATTTTCTTTTTTTGTTTCAGATCTCCAGCATCCTTTCTTTATTTTCCTGTTTCACAATTGTTTGGACCAAGTGAGGAGCAGTAATATGCACCCGCTCTTTTTTAACCCTAAGAAGTGTTGTGACAGCATTTTGTCAGAAAATAATTAGCAGCTTCAAATAAAATGTAATTTGTTTTAAAAGAATAAACAGAGCCAATTTGCAAGTTTTTCTTAAATGATATCCCAAGGAAAAATCCTAAAAATGCAACCACAAACACTCACACCAGCATAGGCAATAAGTTTAACAGGTAGAGATTAGGAGAGATGTGGCTATGCAGTTTAAACTGCGACATTTTTGAGGTGTTAGACTTTCAACCTGAAGCTACAGTTGATTGATTATTGATGAGTATCCTCAGTGTAAAAATAACCTGTAGATACATCTAAGTTCTCAGTAAGCGGTTGTTTCCCAAGTCACTGCTTCTTCACTGGGAACTGTATGAAATGATGAAAGAGATGGGCAGAGGGAAACAGAAAAGCCAGCTGTTGTTACAAATTTATTCATTTTTGCTTCTCTCTGCTCTGCTGCTCAAAAGCAGCTGCTGAAATATCATTCAGTATATATTCATTTATAATAAATAGTAATTAGAGTCATAGTCAGATGTACAGCATGGAAACTGACCCTTTGATCCAACTGGTCTGTGCCAACCAGATATGCTAAATTAATCTAGTCCCATTTGCCAGCATTTGGCCAATATGTGTCCAAACCCTTCCTATTCATGTACCCATCCACATGCCTTTTAAATGTTGTAATTGTACTGACCTCCACCACTTCCTGTGGTAACTTATTCCATATACGCACTACCCTCTGCGGTAAAATTTGCCCCTTAGGCCCCTTTTAAATCTTCTCACTCTGACCTTAAAGCTATGCCCTTTAGTTTTGGACTCCCCTACCCTGGGGAACCAACCTTTGCTATTCATCCTATCCATGCCCCTCATGATTTTATTGTTCTATATTGTTAGAACTCTGACCCACTGATAAAACTCCCCCAATATGTATGTACAGACACAACAGAAAGAGTGTCATAGGTGAAGGGAAAGACTGGGAAGGCAGTTCAAATGGTCCCTCTCCATGGGGCATGCTGAGAACATTGTTTTGGCTTGCCAGGAGCTGCTGCCTCCTGATCTTCCTTCTCCAGATACATTCACTTACTTGCAGAAGGCACATAGTAACACTAATAAAGGCACAGACTTATTGGTTAAAAGCCACAGCTTACAGCAACTGTTGAAGGGAGGTAAACTGGCTTTCTTTTCTGCTTTTTACTGAGAGAAAAGGACAGCTCCTTCTTTTTTAAGGGATCCAATAGCTAATGGCCAAACATTCACATTCAGCTACCACACTGACCCTCTGATGGGCATCCCACTCAGATCCACCCCCTACCCTATCCCTGTAACCCTGCATTTCCCATGGCTAATCCTCCTAGCCTACACATCTTTGGACTGGGGGAGGGAACCCAGAGGAAACCCACAAAGTCATGAGAAAGAATGTGCAGAGACAGTCACCTGAGGGTGGAATCAAACCTGGGTCCCTGGTGCTGTGAGGCAGCGTTGCTAAGTGCTGAGCCACCTTGCTGCCCCTAAGTCATTGTGTGTATTTAGGATAGAGATAGATAGGTTCTTGATTAGGCGATCAAACATTACAGGGAGAAAGCAGGAGAATTGGGGTGAGAAACAAATCAGCCATGATTGAATGCTGGAGCAGACTCAATGGGCCAAATGACCTAATTCTGCTCCTACATCTAACACTCTTATGGTCCCCACTGCTGGAATAGACAACTGTGTAAACAGCAGTTACAATGTCTGTCAGGTAACCTATTTCTGAAAAGTGCAGTAATTCCTTCCACAATCCTTGTTTTTTTTGTTATATAAAATAAAATGCCTTTCCCCATTTCAATTCACAATCTAAAGAACAGAAAAATAAGAAGATACAATCTTCACATTGTTTGCGGCTACACATGCCCAGATTAAAAAGAAGACAGTGAGAAGAAATCCAGGACAAATGGCATCTCAGGAAGAACCAGGATAAGGGACTGAAGGCAAAGTCCTAGAGCAGTCTCAGAAAACCTGGGATGATTGGTCACCCTGAGTACAGTCTCAGGATAAAGGATCGACTATTTACAACTGAGATGAGGAGAAAATTCTTCACTCTAAGGAGTTTAGAATACTTTACGCCAGAGGGTTCTGAACGCTCAGTTGTTGAGTATATTCAAGGCAGAGATTAATAGATATTTAGACATTAGGAAATTAAGGGATTGTTGTAAATTAAACCTGCTCAGCA